ATATATATATATATATATATATATATATATAATGGAATACTACTCAGCCATAAAAAAGAACGAAATTTTGCCATTTGCAGCAACATGGATGGACTTGGAGGGCATTATGTTTAGTGAAATATGTCAGATAGAGACAAATACTGTATGGTGTCACTTATATGTGGAATCTAAAAAATACAACAAACTAGTGAATAAAACAAAAATAAGCAGACTCACAGATATAGAGAACTAGTTGTTACCAGTGGGGAGAGGGAATGAGGGAGGGGTGACATAGGAGTAGGGGAGTAAGAGGTACAAACTATTGGGTGTAAGACAGGCTCAAGGATGTATTGTACAACATGGGGATTATAGACAATATTTTGTAATAACTGTAAATGTAAAGTAACCTTTAAAATTGTATAAAAATTAAAAAAAAAAGAATGTGTTTGGTTCTGACAGGGTAGCACCCCAATATATCCTCAAGGTAAGAGGACACAACGTGATGCTAGGAAATCTATCTTGGTCTGAATGTTCTCCTTCTTGCTGCAGCCAGCGGCCTTTGAGCGTTTCAACGTTGCATATGGACCTGAGTGAAGGGTGGGCTTTCAGGAGGCACTGTTAGCTGAGTCTGTAAGGATACTGTGCTTGAGAGGCCAAGGTCATAGGTTTGTTCCCTATACGGGTCACTTCACTTTGCTCTGATCCATGCCTCAGACTTGCCCCTGCAAACCCCATCCAGCTGCCTTGTAAATATCTTTGAATCACTTGGGGGACAGGATGAGAGCACGTAAAGGGAGCAGGGCAAATCTCTCACCATGGCTGGAGCAACAGCTGAAAACATTCTTGACCAACAGTGAGGACTCTTGGGAGGAGGGCCCATGTAACTTAGTGTATCACTGCACAGTGGACCCAATTTAAACCATTTTTCCCCTTCACATCTCTACGTGAAATCATTGACCAGGGTGGAGCTAGTAGGACAAGGCTCCTGGAGATCACAGCTCCTGGACAGAGCAGAACACATGCAGCATTCACTGGGAATTCAGATTTTTTCCTAAAGATGATATTGCCAACAAGCACATGGGGTCTTCGTGTCTGACTGACAGAGATCGTTTAGACTTGGAAATATGGACACCTATCTCTTGAGTGACCTGCTGGTAATATTTACATCCACATTCACACAGAAAGGTGGTGTGTTTTAATTCCAGGCTAAGGTTCAGCCCTGTACACCTCACTGAAGCATCGCTGACAGAAAGGCTGTTCTGGGAACTCCAGCTACACAAATAAATACTGGAGCAGGGCCTAACAGGAAGACCCTCACTACCCAATTTTTTCCAGATGGCAGTGATGGATGGCTGTATGTTTATGTTTCCTTGGTTTCCCAGGTGACTGGTGTCCTGGTTTCTGCTGGTCACTGCTTGATGAGCTTTTCTTCGAAGATGTGAGCCACCTACCCCAACAGCCCAGCTCTTGGCCTGCAGGTCTACACCGCACTCAACATCGTCAAGAGGTCATTGTGTTTCTTGGATGGCTAGTTAACTCTTTTCTCACCACTGCTTCCCTGAGCCTCTCCTTGTAAATTTTCAGAACTAGTACAGCAAGATTCAAATCTAAAATCATGTAAAGAAACTTGGGGTAGGCAGAATAATGGTCCTTCAAAGATGTCTACATCCTAATCCTCAGATTACATCCTACATCCTAATCCTGTGAATGTGTTCTGTTTCATGGCCAAGGGGAATTAAGGTGGCAGATTAAATTAAGGTTGCTAATCACTTGACCTTAAAATGGGGAGACTAGCCTGGATTAACCAGGTGGGCTCAGTGTAATCAGAAGGCCTCTTAAAAGTGGAACAGAGAGGCAGGAGGAAAGATCAGAACCATGTGATATGAAGACTGGACTTGTCACTGCTGGAGGAGGGGGGCCACGAACAAAGTGGTGGCTTCTAAGAAACTGGAAAAAGCAAGGAAAGAATTAATCCCTAAAGGCTCCAGAAAAAACTCAGCCCTGCTGACACCTTGATCTTAGCCCAGTGAGACCCTTGTTGAACTTCTAACCTACAGAACTGTAAGATGAAAAGTTCATACTGTTTTAAGCCACTACGTTTATGACAATTTGTTACAGCGGCAATAATAGAAAACTAATACAGACCTAGACAGGGTGAACACTGGCTGGGCCTCCAAATTCCACTTGATATAAGAAGTCCTCCCTCCTTCAGCATGATGTAATCTAACAGAACACATTCTTCCCTGGGCATGCTAGAGGCTGGTGCACACACACTGCTTCCCACAAAGTTTTGGAAAGTGAGGGATGATGGAACCCTAATCACCAAGTCCTTTTGATTCCTTGTGAGTAGGGAGAATGAGCATGGACTATGGGATCCAGCAGACCTTGGTTCAGGTCCTGGCTCTGCTATTTAATGCCTCTGTGACCTTGAGTGAGACAGCCTCTCTGTTGTTCAGTTTCTTGAGGGGGACGTTACACCCTCACAGGGTTGCTGTAAAGAGTAAATGAAATAGTGTGTGAAGTATCTCAGGGCATAGGGGGAAGGTAGAAATACAATAAATCGTTTCCTCTTCTATCCTCTTTGTAATTCTTTCTCAGATCTCTCCTGTCCTCTCTAATCCTGTGGCCCTGGACTGCATTTACTTTCTTAATATCTCTTACTAGGACTGTTTTGACAGCTCCCAAAGGGCTAATGGCAGACTTCACTCCTTCTCGACAGCCCTCTAGAATTTTTTTTCTAGAACACAGATTTTCTAGAACACGACACCTCTCCTGCTGCCAATCAGTAGCTCCCTGTTGCCTATGGATTGAAAACTTTGAAGTCGTTTGAATGGCTTGTGTGCATCCTTCACAATTTCATCTCTGCTCCCTTCTGCATGACAGCCCTCTAGCCTAGCTTCTCTCCTTGTCATGCTTTTACTTACTTCTGTCCCTGTGTGGCTTAGTTGTTGTTTTCTATCTCTGGAATGCCAGCCTCCTCTCCTTCACCTAGAGAGCTCCTTTTATCTTTTGAGGTCTGGTTCAAATGTCCCACTGTTGCAGAGACTTTTCTGATTCCTCTAAGAATTTAGCATGGCCTCCACTGTTTCCATCATACTATGTACATTATGGAACTTATCAGAACACATTTTGATTAGTTAATACACCTGCCTTTCCCTCTATCTTTGATGACAGAGACAGTGCATTTCGCACCTTTGTTCTCAGAACTTTGCATATAACATATATTCAATAAAATATATACTCTGTTTTTATGGGTATGGACGAATTAGTGAATGAAAAAATATGTGAACAGCCCACATCTTTAAAGCCGTTGCCATAGAATTCAATGTTACCTTTCACATCCCAGGTTAGGTGGCCCCAGGATGGCCTTTCTGTGATGTTACACACACAGTGAGTCGTCTAAAACAATAAGATTATTGAACAACTTTGCATTTGTTCCTTTTGCTTTGGCTCCCCAAAGGATGTTACTCTTAAATTCATAGGAAATATGTTTTTGAGTGCCAATGAAACAGTAAGCCAGTAATTCCAATATAATGGTTGTGGAAAGATATGAAATGTTTTTGTCTACCTGGTCAACTAACTCCCTCTTTTCTGGGAAAGTACCTTCTTTCTCTTAGGAATTGCTTCCCCCGCCCCCCACACCAACTATCACCATGGAACTCGAGTGAGGACTGCCTGTCACACTGGAGAGGTAGGGACAGAACTCAAAGCTATCCAATCAGAACCTTCTCTGCAATTTTAAAAAATTGAAGCTGGAAGGCCTCTTTTCCCCTTCCAAAATGCACTTTAATACAATAAGAATATCATATTATATATTGTTCATTATCTGATTCCCCTGCGATAAGGCAGAGTTTCTGTGTTTGTACAGAAGGTCTTGACGAATATTTGTTAAATGAATAAATAAATGCTGGGAATGTATGAGCTAAGGACTTCCAGGAGCCGTGAAACCTGCCATCTCAAAGAAACTGGTAGAGAACACTCAGAAGGAAGCAAAGAAGTAAGACAGGGTCCCACTAGGTTCAAGTGTCCTAGTTCTGCTCCTTGAGGTTCTTGGAGCTTCTGTGGCTCATACCTTCCATTCATCCCTTTCTTTTGGCTTATGTTCGTTTAACTTGGGGTCCTGTCACTTGCAACTAAGAGAGTCCCGGCTGATCTAAAAGTTTTATTGTAATAAACTGAACTGGGACAGCCCAGGAAAGTGACCTGTGGAGCTGACTTGGGGTAGGATATGAATGCATAGCAGTCAAACTCCTGGGTGTCTGAGTAAAGGGACATTTGAGGAAGATTCATGCTGCCCAGGAAGAGAGAAAAAAACTACAGTCAATGAAGATTTACTGGGTGAGATCACATACGTGTTTCCCTTTCCCTGTTAATTCTATTTACCCCATCCTCTGACACCCTATCAGGGTCCCACCAGAGAAACAGAACCAGCAGGAGATACATATTAAGAGACTTATTGCAAGGAATTGGCTTCTGCAATTGTGGGACCTGGCTAGGCAAGTCCGAAATCCATGGTGCAGGTCATCAGCAATTTCAACTGATTGAATCAGGCCCACCCAGATTATCTAGGGTGATAGCCCTTACTTAAAGTCGGCTGACTGTAGACTTAAATTACATTTACAAACTATATTCACAGCAATATATATATATACTATATTCAAAAAGATAATATATATTATCTTTTTCTGAGAACTCCCTGTTTATAAATACACACACGCACACTCACACACACACACACATTTATTTATTTATGTTTATCTTTTTCTGAGAACTCCCTGTTTATAACTTAATTAATTAATTGTCTCTTTGAAGTAAGAAAATTAACAATTCATCTGTCATGTTTGTTTTGAATATTTTTACCAATGTATTATTTGTCCTTGGACTTTGGCTATAAATTATATATAAATGTTTTAAAGTTCTCAAGTGTAATATACTAGTTTCCTTTACGGCTTCTGGGTACACTGTGTGCTGCATGTCTATTTTCTTGGCAGGACAAGCAGACCTGGGATTCAAAAGGTAAAATCAGGGGCTTCCCTGGTGGCACAGCGGTTGAGAATCTGCCTGCTAATGCAGGGGACACGGGTTCGAGCCCTGGTCTGGAAGGATCCCACATGCCGTGGAGCAACTAGGCCCGTGAGCCACAACTACTGAGCCTGCGCGTCTGGAGCCTGTGCTCCGCAACAAGAGAGGCCGTGATAGTGAGAGGCCAGCGCACCGCGATGAAGAGTGGCCCCCGCTTGCCACAACTAGAGAAAGCCCTCGCACAGAAACGAAGACCCAACACAGCAAAAATTAATTAATTAATTAATAAACTCCTACCCCTAACATTAAAAAAAAAGAAGGTAAAATCACCCTTCATGCTAAAGGATTATTTTAAGAACCATGGAGAAATGAAAATGTATAAGGAATTTTATTACAAAATGCTTCTGTTCTGGGTCCTAAGGAGATCCTGTCTCAGCTCCTAAAAGCTGGCAGGGTGAAGGGGGCCAGGCAGTCTTAACTGAGGATTTCTTAACTTAATTGAGGTTGGGTTTCAATTCCAGCCTTGGGAGAAACCATATCTCTCTAACCATCTCCCTTGTCAATGCACAGATCTCACCCAGCCTGCTTGCTGAGAAGTCTGAGAAGAGGAAAGGTCCCTAGCTATGTGGAGCCACAATTCTGACTCACACTGGATGGTTCAAAAGAAAGTTAAGTTCACTCCTGGAATCTTCCCACATGTTCTGTGTCATGAAATGAAAAATAAATAAGGATCATCATTTGGAGAAGACAGTGTCCAGGCAAGTTAAAAGGGATAGACTTGCTCAAGCTGCTGGCCTTCCATCTCCCTCTATACAGTCATAACTTACAAAACACACACCACCTTAGGCACATTGCTCCCAAAGTGTTGGGGGCTGTTAGAAACAACAGCACTGACTCCAGCATGATCATTCCCACTGATTTCCTATCATCTCATTAAGAACCACATGTGAAGTGAAGGACAGCTTCTTCCCAGACAGCAAGTGTCCCAAGTGCCCCATATGTACGGTTATCGTGAGTTATCATGTCTTGTAGTTATCATGTCTGTAGTTCTGTTTGGGCCCATGCTGGCCTCTTTGCTGGTGACATCAGTGTTGAGACAGGATGACAGAGTTAAAAGTAGGGTTAGAAGAGGATTAGGTGCTGGAAGCAAGCGTGAAGAAATTGCCCAAATCCAGCCCCTGAAGAAAACCCGAGTCATGGAATTGGCCAGAATTGGACAGTAGGTTACCATAAGAGAAGACACAAGATTGGAGCAGAGGCAGAATCAGAATCTGTGGTCAAATCCAAGGTCAAAGCCACAAGGAGTTAATACAAAAACAAAGTGCAGAAGTCAAGGAGCAGGGATAGTCCAGTTAAATTCTCAGGAACAGAACAGTCTCTCTTAGAAGCCCCAGTGCTTTGCCCCATGGGCACGACTCTTAATTTCGAAGGCATTTGCTGCAACCTTCAATTTCAGAAATAGGAAAACTGCTGGCAGCACTGCAGTAGGAGCGGCAACTATGCAGACACAGACCGACTCTGCCAGCAGAGCACCACAAGTCCAGGAGGGCAGGCGTGGTCCTGAAACATCAGTGGTCAGGTGTGTGTGGGAACAGCTACTGGGGAGACCCCAGGCATGTGGTTCTCTGGGCTCTATGCCCCTGCTTCTGTTCCTTGGCCTTACTCCTACCGTTGGCTAGAGCTCTTTAATTATATTTTATTCTATTTTCCCTAGCTGAAATATTGGTTTAACTTTTCTTTTTTGATTTCTAGTTGTGTTTTTAAAATTACAAAAGTAATGCCTGGTCATTATAAAATATTCAAGTAACATAACAGTATGTAAAGCAAAAAGTGAAGTCTCTTCCTTACATTCTACTCACTCTCTCCAGTGGAAATCAATGTTAAAAGTTAGATTTGTATATGTTTAGACTCTTTCTAGGTACATATATATACCTAGGTTATTTTAAAAACATAGGGTCACACTGTTTATACTGTACTGCAGCTTGCGTTTTGTAACTCAATCATACCTTACAGACAGCCATTCCATTTCAGTATATATATATATATATATATATATATACACACACACATATATATGTATATACACACATCTACTTCATTTTTGTTAATGCTGCATAGCCGTCATAACAAGAATATGCGCTAATTTTATATTGGATTTTATAGTATAAGTAATGTTGCCTTGAACATTCTTTTAGTTTTTTTTTTTTTTAGGCCACACCAAGTGGCATGTGGGATCTTGGTTTCCCGACCAGGGATTGAACTTGTGCCCCCTGCAGTGGAAGCGCAGAGTCTTAACCACTGGACCACCAGGGAAGTCCGCCTTGAACATTCTTGTACAGGTATTCTTGCTCACTATAGAGTGCTTCCATCGGATAAATTCCTAGAAGGGAATTGCTGAGTGCATATTTAAAACTTTGATAGGTACTGCTGACGTGACTTCTTTGTTCCAATTTATATTTTCACCAACAA